GCATTTCCCACAACCTCTGCCTCCTCCAGCTCCCCAGCAAGGCCCAAGAGTCAAGTACAACTGACAGCCGCCATATAAAACACAGGGAGAGCTGCAGAGCTCATGTCAGCTTCGCTGTGCATTTGCGCTGAGTGGAGCAGGAGGGTGCACAGAGGAGTGGCAGGTACAGCGGAGGGCACCAAGTGGAGCACAGATCTGTGTGCTTGCAGCACCCTTGATCAGGCATTTCTCTCTTCTTCCCCTCTCCTCCCATAAAATTAGGAGAGAGACACATTTTAATGACAGTTTGCTGAAATGTGCAATCCCTGCTGATTTGACATTGGGCAGAAAAAGTGTCTACAGAATCAATTTTTAATAAATGTAAACAACTAAATTATGAATGACAAAAATATCATTGAACAGTTAAATATTAATCACATAATTACTTAAATTAATACTTTTAGTGCAATGTTGTGATAGAGAGTTTTACTTACGCGGTGTCTCTGTGCTGGCTGGGCGGGTGTGCGGGGGGGACAGGACCGCAGCGGTGCCCCCGGCGGTGGGGCTCGGGAGCGGAGGGCTCTGCTGGTGCTTGCCGCAACCCCAACTGCTGGCTGTCCCACAGGTCCTACAATATTGGATGCTCCTCTTAAAGACTCTGGAACCAGAATTATTAATAAAGAGCTTCAAAAAGAGAGCTGTCAAGAAAATGGCTAAACTGGCCCCAAACCAGAAAGCAACCCCCCCAAAAAAACCTCTCGTGTCCCAGTGTGCTGTTAAACCCCCCAACAGTGAGTGTGTGATGTGCAGAGCCGCGGCTACGCTCAGTGATGATCTTGGGAAGACTGAGGGTGCTCCAGAGGGAGCTGGGGTGCAAAAAGCCCTGGCTGCTTCTAAGATGGAGTTGGGTGAGTTTATGAAAGAGATGGTGTACCGCGAAGTTGGGGGCTGGAGTCACTGCCCTGTGGGCCCCATCTGTGCTCCCATCTTGCGCTGCAGGGACCTTGTGTGGTAGAAAATTGGGTGGAAGTGTTACGGGGGCAGGGGGGGTAGCAGCAGCCGTCTGTAGGTACTTGCACACAGCACGCGGCTTCCTCCCCTGCCCAAGAAACTAAGAAAAGAATTTACTGGCGCTCTTGTCCTTGTGGGTTGGCTGGCTGCGTTGTTTGTTTTTAATCTAATAAAAGGAGATCTTAATATCATAGTAAAATCGGTACAAAGCTAGAAACTCGCCCCTTGGCGTTTTGGCGAAACATTATTGAAAATGTAAAAGCCTTTAGCAGAAACAACAGAAGCACAAAGAAATTGTAGAAATAGGATCAACAGGTTGTGTTCTGGATGTTGGGAGGAGCGGGGAAGAGCATCCAGCCGGGGCTCAAGGTGCCAGTGAGACCCGCTAAGCTGAAAGCCTGATGCCAGCCCCGTCGTGGCTCTGCTCCGCAGGGACATGATCCAGCAATGGCCAGGAGCAGGGGTCCTGCGGGGGTCAGGATGGGCAGCATTGCGGAGCGGTGGCTGGGCGGTATGGAAGAGCACATTGCCAGGAGGGCAGGACCAACTAAGGAGGAGAAACAGACGGCTGGGAAGAGCCGTGCACTGGGAAGATGGTATGAGCGTAGTGGGACCTGGCCAGTGGAGGCAATGGAAAGGCAAGCTTGCCATCCTCAGGCTTGCAAGTACTTGGATTGGTCCTGGCTCGGTCTGCTCCCTGTCTGGAAATTAAATCTTGTATAGGAATTTTAAGAGTGTTTTTAAATTACTAAGTGAAGCATCTCTTGCAAAAGGTGGGAATGCTCAGACTCACCCATTGCTGTAGGATCCAAGTGCAGCTCTTTTTGCCTCATCTCTGTTTTCCTGTGCCTTCCAGCTCTTCACAAACATCACTAGACGCACCATTCCCGCGTGCCATAAGCAAGTGCCTCCTGAAAATGCCATTACCCAACTTGTCCACCAGTACAATACTGAGCATCATCACCACTCATAAAAACAACCATTTTCGGGCTGACCATTGCCCAATCTGAGAGCTGCAGCCGCTCCCCATGACTTTAAGTCGCATCACATGGCGGGGCGCTGGAGGGAGCAGCTTCCTGCTGAGGCTGTCAGCCAGACTGGTACCTAATTTCTGATTGAACATCAACACGTTTACACAGTGCAAAACCATTCCCATCCCCTTGCACTTGCCGACTTTCTGGCTCTCTGACAGCCTGTGCGCATTTTGCTTCCGCTTTTCTGCATGTGGCGTTTTGTTCTGCCCGCCCAAGACCCATTCGCTGAGTACGTGAGGTCCCGGTGGGGCTTGTGGAGCTGCCCCCTGTCAGGCGAATTTTCCGTTCAAAGCTGCCAATTGAGTTCACTTTGTGCTCTCACAGCGTTGCGTTTTCTGATGGACTTTCTACAGGTACGGTTTATAGTGGCGAGAGGGGAGAAGCAGGAGCGCTTTCCATACGCAGCGTTACAACATGCTGCAGTGAAGTTGGTTCTTGGAACATAGCAGCCCCCTAAAACGTCAAATAAATCCTTAAACTATTCATCACACTGTTTTTGGGGTGGCAGTTAAGTCTTTCAACACTCTGCAAGTTTCTTTCCCCAGCAGTAATTTCGCTGGTGAAGAAATACAGCTCAGGGCACTCCACAAAGGCCTCGAAATTCATGTTTTGTTTTCATTACCAAAAAAATGCTTCACTACATTAAAGAGTGGCCCATTAAAATTTTGTACCCTGTCTTCCCTGTGCCCTGTCATTGTTGGCAAACCTTCCCCCATACACGCGGCAGAGCCAAACAGCAGCCGGCATGTTGCTTTTGTAGACTTCACAGAGAAAGGACAGCGAAGGGGAGGAGGTTTAAGCCACAGCCCAGCTTGTTTAGGTGCAAGATCTCAAAACTTCCAATAGCCACGCAAATTTACTCAATAAATGTACTGTACTGAACCTTAAGCTGCTCTATCAGTGTTTCCTCTGCTTTCAGTCTAACCGAGCACAGCACACTGGCCCATCATGTGCATGTCTAAGGAAACAAATTAACTGGCTGGTTCCTGGAATAAAATTCAGCACTGTACAAAGCAATATATTTAACCGTCTCAGGCAAATAGCCCTAAAATAACAACGAAAAAGAAAACAATGCATTACTGGAGGCTTACTGAACCTTGGGATTATATAAATTAAATGTTGCAGCATGAACTGGATGGTGTTTTCTGATACCGTTGTAAAGCTAGATGTTGAGGAAAAACAGTAAACGTATTATAATTAGGGTTTAGGGGAGCATTTGGTTATTCTCATAACTCACTCAGACTAGCTGAATGCTGACACAGGCACGAGAGCAGGCAGTAAAACCTGGAGCTTGCTTAAGAGCGCAGAAGGGTTTTTAGCTGAATTCAGTGGGAACTTGCTAAGTCCAGTTTTATTTAATATCTCCACAGTTAATTTAGAAATAAACAGCACGTTAATTAAATTTGCAACTAAATTAGCAAGTTAGAAGATCAGACCGAGGTGCAGCTGTGGAGAGCAAATCTCACCGTCTTGCATGAACCACAACCCAAAGCAAGCAGCGTGGGGCGCAGCTGGAAGCACCAGCACTGCGGGTGGCGGCGGGGGAGCAAACCTGCCCCTTCCCATCGCCGGGGTGGGTGTGCGCCTTCCCCAGCCAGGCTGAGGTCTCACATCCTGCTGCTGGGCCAGAAATCTTGGGGTGGGGTGGTGATGCTGGAAGGAGGGAGGCAGGGAGGCTGCGACTGCGGCATCCGCCAGCAGTGTTGGCCGTTGCCTTTGGCAGGGTTTGGTGAGCTCGTTATCCACGGCAGGGGAAAGCCCTGCCCTGGTCACAGCGAGGGACACGGGGGGATTGCATAGCTGAGTCGAAGGGACGGGCCGACAGTGAAATCCAGCAGGCTGCGGGATAGTCTCTATGGGAAATGGAGGAGTCCTCACTGGCAGGGTTATTTAAGACTTGACTTTGAAACACGAGACACTGTGCAGTTGGGAACAATGCTGCACTGTCAGAGAGATGGACTCAATTACTTAATAGGTCGTTGCTGTCTGTCTCCTGCGATTTTCCTTTCAAGAACATATATTCAGCTGGGTTATTTCTCATGGGAAGACAAAGCGTTCTGAGAGAAGCCAGGCATTTGGAGGGGAGAGGCGGGAAGAACGGCAGCCAAGCAGATGCCCGGTTTGCTTTCTGCAGAGCATGCTCCTCAGGATGTGGAGAAAGCTGGAGTGATGTAGCTGATGTGGTATTTTGGTCCTGTAACCAGCTGATCCCCCGGTCTCATAGATCTCACTTCGTTTTCTTGGCTCACGATAGATTTGCCATGTTGCTTTCTTCTGCCGGACTCTGATCCCCAGGACTACTGGTGGTGGGACTGTGGTCCCACAGGCAGTGCTGCAGATGCTGCACGGGCCATTAGTTGCTGGTTTGACAAAACATTCAGCGTTGGGTAGTCACTTACCCAGCACTGACATGTCCATACAGCTCATCTTGGTGTATGGGCAGCCGCTCCTCTAGCACGGGAAGGCTTTGATGGCGTTTGGTCAAAGTGACAGCTAAGCTGGAGGAAAAGCTCATGGCCAGGAACCCATCTCCGAGTAACCATTCGGTTCTCCGTTAGCAGGACGTGGTGGACAGGGGTGTATAACGGAGCCGGTGATGTACATTCTCACCAAAATTACTCTGCCAGCCGTGGGGTGAGCGTTTCATAGGCACTTTCCTTGTTGGGGTTATGGGCCTAATTCGCAGCCCTGATTCGGGACAGCGCGAGCTTAGCCTGAGGGCAGCTGCAGGGCTCTCGCAGCTGGTCCGTGCACCTGTGTCTGCACGTGCACACGCGCTTCGTGTGTGTGAGCGTGCGGGTGCACACACGTGTCTAAGGCATCTATCTTTGTGACTTGTTTGTCACCAAATTAAGATACTGCGTTACCTTATGCACATTGAATTGATGCAACTAAATTGGCTGGATGTTCTTAAGCCCTGAGGATGTAATGAGATTTTGTCTCTTTTGCCCATTTCTTTTTCTTTTCTTTTTTCAGAATAAGTCGTCTGTTTAATGGCACAGAGCCTATTGTCTTGGACAGTTTAAAACAACATTATTTCATTGATCGAGATGGTGAAATTTTCAGATATATATTAAGCTTCCTAAGGACATCTAAGCTACTGCTCCCAGATGACTTTAAGGTAAGGAAAGCTATAGTCTGCAATCCATTTTTTCCTCCCATTCTGTCATTTGTTTTGGTGCAGGTTGGTTTGTGTGCTTGACCTAAACACACTTAACTAAATGTTGCTGTTTATTGTTAGGATTTTTAGTACTTGTGTATTACACCAGGGATGCTATAATTTAATAAATGGACCAATGGTTGTCATGGATACCATAAAAAGTTAAACGATGAAGCTTACGGCTAAATCAGTTTTTCTAAACTAATTGTATTTTCTCACATTTTTAGCTTATTTATCAGGGTATAACAACAATTAAGAAGCAACATCAGCAACTAGCACTTACCAGGGTTTAATGCTCAGAATCTGAAAGAAATGTTTTAAATTTGATACTTAGAGGGCCTAAATTGTATAAATCTTTTTTTGTTGGTACAAAAAAGAAAGACCCTTAAACAAGCCCATGAGGATTTGTGTTAGATATAACTGATGCAGATACTTTGATTTCAGGAAGTAATCTTTTACACAATTTATGAATGTCAAAATGTTCTTGGGAGATGGAATTTACTGAGGGTTTTTTAAGGAGCAATACATGTTGTCTATGAAATAATGGCGCTGGTTGTTGCTTTGCAAATCCTGATTGTTTAAACACTCTCCTCCTAGCCTTGTTTATTTGGCTTTGCACTTACGAAACTTGCAACATTGTCATCCTTATGTATGAAAATTAGAAGACAAAAGTGTCCAAACTGTAGATGACAAGATTCAACAAAAGCACTAACTCCAGGATGAAATGATGAATAAATTGGGATGGCAACGGGGATCTGCTCAGAGTTAGAGGACGTGGAGCGTTGCTGGAGAGGAAAGTTCCCGCGCCGTGCAGTAAGATTTCACTTTGCATGTTGGACTAGGTAGGCAAGATAATTTGGCCAGTCATTACTGAGTCAGTCCAGATTTGTGGTTGCTGTGGTGGCTTTAGCTTTGGAGTACAGCTGATCCTCATGCTGCAAACCGCTCCTCAGCCATTCTTGCCTAAGTTACAAGTATAACCATATTTGACCCCAGCATGGGAGTGTTTATAGTTAATGTTGAGCAGACACACTGCGCAATGGGAGCACAGATCTAGTCCCAAGGCAGGGAGAAGTTTTGGCATTCATGGGTGGTTTTGGAGCTGCAGCCCAGAAGGGCTGTCCTGAGCACTGGTCTTTCTGGGCAGCGGTGGGTAGGTTGGGGAGGCTGGCCTGCGGGTTGGGGTGCCATGTAGTGGAGCGAGAGCCAGAGCACTAAAGGGTGGATGCGAGAAAAGCTTTCTACAGAGAAATGAGAGAAAACGCATAGGTAGGAGTGAAGCTAAAGACCAGACCAGTTCTGTGGATTGTAAGATGGATCAAGTAAAAGGGGGTAGATGGAGAAGTGGTACAGGTGAAATGCCAGAGAGATGCTTTAGCAGCAGCGTTTTGGACAATCTGGTGGGACAAGAAGGTGTGAGAAGAGAGGGTAGAAGAGATGTAGTTCGAGCTGGTCATGGCCTCAACCGGCATCCAGATTTCAGAGGTGCTGTGAAACAAAACCGGCAGGATTCGGTAAGAGCCTGGAGGTGAGAGTACTGGTGGATGCCAAGGACTTGTCTGCGCAGCAAGCCGCTGGCAGGGCTGGGAGAGACTCGGGAGAACCGGCGCTGTGCCCAGGCTCAGTCCGTTGTTCCAGACCATCTCTTTGCATAGGGTTAACTGTATTTTAGTTAGTTCCTCCCTGGGAGAGCTTTAGAGCAAACCCCAGGCTAATGAGGGCTCAAGAACAAAGCAAAGTATTGCTAGGTAGGGAGTAACTAAATAAAAATGCATAGAAGAATGCGCTGCAAAGCTATATTAAAACTGCATTGTAAACGGATTTGACTTCACAGAAATCGTGTAATTTTACCAGCATGATTAAAGTGACAGAAGACAACAATCAAAGGCAGCAAATGGAATCAGTCGGTGTTTCTAAATGCAAAACTCTATTTAAGGTATAAAACCTGACAGGTTTTCCAGTGAGACTTGCATTAAATGTTCTTTATGTCAAACAAAGCATTATCAAGTGTTTTGAATATTTATTAGTTTTTACCCCTTAATTTAATCAAGCAGTATATTAGCCTCAAGGTTTAGCCAAGTTGCTTTTCAACTTGAATTGCTGCTCAGATGGTTATTTTGGAAAGTTTGGAATGTTAGTACCGCACCAGCGTTATTGTGTTTGCTATTTAAGTGTTGTTTTCAGACTAAGTTAACACTGAAATGCAGAGAAAGTGGGGTATGTGTTCCTAGGCTAGTGATTCTTTATTATCAAGTCTGACTGGTGTGTTTACAGTGAATATTAATTACACTTCCAACTACTAATAAGCCAGAACTTGAAAGTGTTTAGTATCTGACAGGTCTCCCTGCTGAAAGCAACACTCTAATAGTACATATAATTTTCCTGGGTTTGGGGGATTTTAAGCCACATGAAGCATGCTGAGAAATTACTGTGAGTTGTTTGGCTCAGTTCTCCTTCGCAGCCAGCCTGTGCTGAGCAAGGCGATGGCGAGCAGCCCGGAGCTGCTTACAGCTCCCTCTTCCTGCACTGGTTCAGAGTCCCTCACGTGGGTCCACAACACCTTGAGCAACAAATGTGCTCGAACGGAGCATGGAGCCAGCACCCCCTGGTCTGCCACACTGCTAGGTTAGGGGGTGGCTGGCGCAGGAGCTGCCCCTCCTCTGCAGCCCAAATATTCTCTGCCTTGATCCCTGGCCCCCACCATCAGAGGTGTTTCCCTAGGACATTTATGTGCAGCATCTGTCCCCTTCACTGCCAATACACAACTTCACACAAAACCAGGACCCATCACGCTCATTTGAGACTCACTCCCTGTGTAGAGATCGTTAAACAAAAATAGACATAGGCAATGTGTATATTATTACTCCATTTTAAGGAGAGGAGGAGCACAAATACACAGGACATCTGAGTTTCATATAGATTATAGAGGTCACCTGTAGCACCGGAATCGCAAGGCCGGCACGCTAATTTATTAATATCGTTTTTAAATTAGTATGCTTGCATCTCAACTGACCTTAGCAAATGGCGCAGTTGTCATTGTAGAAGTGAGCAACTTTCTCTCGTAGCCAGGAGTCAGATCTTCACAGCACTAAAATATAAAAGAAACATTGAGTCAGGATGACAGTTTGTTGTTTCATGTAACAAAGAATAACAAGTGAAAAATGGGCAGAAAGAGCCATTTCAGCCTGTTCAGGAGTCGACATTAGGTACAAAAATAAAGGACCTCTTTAGTACTGAGAGAAGAGCATCAGGTTCACGGGAGACACGGTTTTACAGTTTCTGTTGGCTGTCTCTGCCTGTAGTTGGCAGATCTTTACTGACCCACTGGCACCGATGTCGAAACAGCAGCACAGCTGGCCTTGCAGTCACACTTCCCATCTCCTCCCCAGGAAGATGTCACCCGTGTCAGAGGTGACTGCAGAATCTAGCCAATGTGAAATCCACCAGAAAAAAAGCTTTTCTACTGAATCATGAGCAGAAAATTATTTTGTGAAAGGCAAAAAGCTGCATCTTTGAAAGATCTGTTTACCTTTCCCATGAGATCTAAATGTTGTCCAGAAGTTGTGGATGGAGAAAGGCTGTGTGCATCCCTTTTCCAGGTGACCTAACAGAACTTCCCCACTCGTTCCTACAAGAGCCACAAGAAGTTGAAGGCCCATGGTAGCTCATGGAGGCTTTTTGTGGTACTTTACAGCAAAATCAGAGGCTGGACTGTGCATCTCCCCTTTCAGTCTAGCAAGGGGCACCCTGCTCATGAGCAGGGACCTTGGCTGGTGGGAATCACCTTTGGAGTAAAACGATTTTCCTTGCTAAACACAAGCAGCTCCATTAGCTACCAAACATAGTGCTTGACTCTGGGCTGTGCTGCCACAAGGTGCACTGCTGTTAAGAAGTTGGGAAGGTAGGGAAATAATCCTTAGAAGAAATGGGAGATGCATCATTAGTCCTGCAGTAGAAGGAACTCCTGGATACTGTACAAAATCTGCTGCGGGATACTGCCTGCTGCTCAGCAACACTGCACTGATGCCAGGGCTAGTGAGAGAGAGGGTGCAGTATCTGTATGCATTTATCAGCATATGCCTGGGACAGAAGTTGTATCAGGCTGCTCTGAGGCTGAGTTTCAATGAAAACGTGTGCACTTTGAAACTGTGCTTTGAAACCCTGTAGCTACTCCTGTGCCTGTTTCAGCAAAATGTGCCTCTTCTGGATAGGTCCAGCAAGATTCGTGTCTGCATCTGCCTTTGGTAAATTATCAAAATGAGCAGCATGGAAATGTTTTCTTGCAGCTCCTGTGGCACCTCCCTGGCGAGGTCCCTTGTGAGTTGAATTCTTCTACTTCATATTTCGTGTTAAACTTCTGCAAATCATCAGGGTAGGATTTTATATCTACAGTACAAGGGTGGAAATACCTATGTCAGTATTACCTGGGCATCCTGAGCATCCTGTGTAGACAATCCAGAGCTGGGCATCGCTTCCAGTCCAGTCGCAGCCGCACAGTACTCTGAACTGTGTATAAAACCTGCATGACAAGATCATGTACTTAGCGGTGTGTCGAGTCCATTACCCTGCCCAAACACAGGCTTTAGAGAACTGGACCCATGCTGTGAACCATTCATTCTCTGTTCCTGGTTTTGCAAAATCCTCTTCTCTCCTTAAATACATTGTCAAATTCCATGGCAGTGCCCAAGTCACTCAGTGCAGAAACGCCAGATTTCCTGTTGCAGGAGCCAGAGAGGCCAGGGCGGTGGGGCAGGCTGTGCTGGTGGTGGCGGGGCTGGGGCAGCGTGCAGTAGGTGGAGTGGGGGGTCATGGAAGGTGTCCCTTCCCAGCGCTGTCACTGGTGGACGACTATGAATTTTCTCTTGTCCTTCTAGCAGCAGAGGCTTTTTTATCCCCTCTACTTGTTACAGCGTAACAAATTCCCTTTATTGCCACTGCCTGTAATAGGCAAGTGCCCAGACTCCCTAACGCCGCATGTGCATGTTGCTTCTTTGCACCGGCACGCCTCAGATTCCCAGCTTCTGTTACAAACCCCTTCCTCCCCGTGCAAAACCCTTTCCGGCATATTTGTGCTCAACCCAAGTGTGGAATGGACATGGAGATGAGAGTCTTATTTTAAAAACTAACCCAAGCACCTTGGCTTAACCTAGGCAGTTTATGACTGGGTGCATCCCACTGAGCACATGATGCTCCAGCACAGCTCTGGTTTCCACACGGCCGTCTGAAGCATGGCCATATCGTTCTTGGAACAGCAGTGGAAGAGCCGTTTCATCTGAAAACTGGTTGCGTTATCACAAAATGATATCAGAATATAAAATTAATCTTGTTTATTTAGGACAAATGATGGCTAGCAGGAGTCACTGAAGAGCTGCATTTGATGCGGTGGGCTAATAGCTGGCTGTGGGGGAGGTAGAGGTGTGTGATCCTGGCTTTGTGTGCTTTATGGCATTACTGTTTTGGCCCGGGGGTGCTGGACCATTGAACTCTCGTGATTCAGGATACTGTCAGCCTAGTCCAAAACCCAGTGAAGTCAGTCGAGAATACTCTCATGAATGCAATGGGCTTTGCATCCAGCCTCAGGAGCATTGTACCTCTCTTTACTTTCAGAAATGAAGGACTGTTTTTTATATGGCTGTACCACCTCTTATGGGTTTTACTGTTGAGTTTTCTTAGCACATACTCAATTGATTGACCTTACAAATAGTATGTTATTTTATAGTGTCCATGAACACAGATATTCTAAAACTGGTTTTTCAGGACCTATTGAAAACAGTGGGAGACTTTCCATTGCCTTCAGTAAGCACTGGACGCTCCTGTTCACTCTACAGCATTAGATTACATTTTTCCTTAGCATTGCATGTTTTCCTTTGCTCAAAAACAAGATACATGGAACCAGCAGATGCCCAGTGAACGTTTGACATCCCCCTGCATGCACCTCTGTCATAACTGCAGTTAAGTGGTGACTGTGGTGTTCCCGTGTTCTGCATGAAGATGATTTCGGAAAGTTTTGGGCAGATGTTTTTTAATTTAGGCCACTAATCCCCATAGGTTTAAACCAATCCCATGCTCAGTAACCAGGGAGCTTCACTGGTCGAGACAGAGAAAAGCAGTAATGGTTCAGCA